AGCTACTTGAACTACAGGTGCCACCAACATATAAGCTCTTTAAAGGCAGATTTTAGAGTTACTTCTTTTAATGCCTCTAAAGCACACTGAGGAACACTTAACCCAACTGTGCCCCCAATAAGTAATTGAACAAATGAAGAAATAGGAGCCAAGTTTTTGAGAAATCAGTGCTTTTATACAGCTTTTGGCAGGGAGGCAATACAGTGGTTAAGAGGATGAATATGGGGGACAGAGAGGTCTGGATTCAGTTTGCTAGGTTGCTTAACAGCTGTGCATCTTAGTTATTTCCTCTAAAAACATCAGTTAATACCTACCTAATATAGTAATTGTGAAAATGAGGTTATGCACAAAAAATACCTTGATATCTGATATGTGCTTAAAAGATAATGTCAAGGTATTTTTGGTACACACAGATAACTCTACTGATGTAATGCTTAATGGAACACTTAGACTACCGTGATTTAGGGAACAGTCAAGTCTTTAGTTGAAGATTGGCCTCTTGAAAACCATTCTTGAATACTGAATACACTCCCTTTAACCTCTGCCTTCCTTTCCTTAATTATTTGCCTGAAGGAAATATTGAGTAAGATAATGTATGTACATGTAAACGCACTGTAAAAACTACTATAAAGCATTACTTTTATTATGTACTTAAACTGAGAGGGAAAAATCGTCTAAAGTATTTTATTCTATTTCTAGTACAATCTGTGAGGGCCTTAAAAATATCCCCCTCCATAAAATTTTCCTTTCCTTTATTGTTTATAGAATAGTAAACTTGATTACTCAAGTTCTCAAAAATGAAAATTAAATTTGGAATGGTTCTATTTTGTTCCCTCTGTTGGCCTGAGAGGATAACACTGCCTAAGACTAATAATTCAAGATTACCTAAAGGTCTATTTTCATAAAGTTGACTAAGTATAAAGATTTAATGGCATTCCACATAAAGACAAAACCATACTTTCAGCTCTATCTTATATACTTGACAATTAAAAGCAATTTTCTTGTCTACTTAAAATTTTTTTTTTTTTTTTTGTAGAGACAGTCTCAACTTTATTGCCCTCGGTAGAATGCTGTGGCTTCACACAACTCACAGCAACCTCTAACTCCTGGGGCTTAGGGGATTCTCTCGCTTCAGCTCCCAAGTAGCTGGGACTACAGGTGCCCACCACAACGCCCAGCTACATTTTTTGTTGCAGTTTGGTGGGGGCCAGGTTTGAACTTGCCACCCTCGGTATATGGAGCCGGTGCCCTACCCACTGAGCCACAGGCGCTGCCTTACTTCTACATCGAACCATTTTAACTATTATCTTAGGGTTCAAATCTAGAAAATTATTTTTGTACAAAGACTAGCTGCTCTTCATCCTTTAAAAATAATTCCTTTAATAAGAGTCTGTTTCCGGCTCAGCGCCTATAGCATAGTGGTTACAGTGGCAGCCACATATACTGAAGTTGGTAGGTTTGAACCCGGCCCAGGCCTGCTAACCAACAATGACAACTGTAACAAAAAATAGCCAGGCATTGTGGTGGATGCCTGTAGTCCCAGCTACTTGGGAGGTTGAGGCAAGAGAATCGCCTGAGACCAAGAGTTGGAGGTTGATGTGAGCTGTGACACAATAGTACTTTACAAAGGGCGACATGGTGAGACTGTCCCCCCCACTGCAAAAAGAGTCTGTTTCCTTTAAAGCTGAAATCCACCCAAAACACCTAGATTTGCAATTTCATATAACTGTTTCCTTTGTTCCCACTACATGTGCCACCATATAATTTATCTCCACACTTTAAAAGTTACATAGTATATACACTAATTTAACTGTGAATCAATTTTTTGTATTCAAAGTCTTAGATTATGTATATGAAAACTAATTTATTAAGCCTCTATACACAAAGATGGACATACCTGTACAGCAAGCATGTATGAAGAATGAAGTTACAAAAAACTAAGACTATCATTAAAACTGATGCATGTAAATCATTTACAAAAATACCCCAAATGGAATAAAGCTGCTCATCCCTGATTTTTCTCATTTGGTTGTCAAAGTTGAAATACTAATTTAAAATGGTTAGAATTTTTTCTTTTAAAAAGTGATATATTAAACATATATATAGGACAATCAGCAAAATGTAGAAAGAGAAAACAATGTACAAAAGACAGATAAAAACCTTCACTCTTCACAATCACAATCCAAAAATAGTATAAACCTTAACAAACTATCGCTAAACCAGGTCAAATTCATAGCCCCCCCCAGTGCAAGTGTTCTTCAGGGGGAATAAAATATAGTGAACTAGTGCACTCAGTCTTCCTATTATTTAAAATAGGGGTGACTTTAGAACACAATCGAACCTTGGATTTTTAAACATGGGAGGAACAAATAGGAAAACAGTTGTTATCTGTCCACTATAGTGCTAATTAACAGAACACAAAGTTATAGATAATTAAATAGCTCTTGCTGCTATGCCAAGCAGTTATTCAGAAGCCTTTTTATTTTTCTGCTGGTTTCGGGGTGAGTTCTTTAACAAGTTTCTTATCCTGAGGTACTTTCCAGTCGATTCTGCCATATTCTCAAATTCAAATGGTGTTATTCCGCTTGCAAATTTGCTCATGTCAGGTATAGGGCTGTGAAATTTAGTAGCCAATGAAGGAGTGGTGTCCACATCAAAGGCCTTCTGACCACCTCCATTCCTAATGTCACAGTTTGATATAACACTGCCATTATCAAGAAGAGCACCTTTAGAGTCTACCTGAGTAGACTCTTCCTTTTCGTTCTGACAAAGCAATGTAGCCTCAGTATCTGGACTTGGGGAATGTTCAACTTCTGATTTCTTTGTATAAGTGTCTGGTACCTCAGGCTCACCTAGCATTTGCTTTTCAGATTCCTTTTCCTCTGGGACAAGGAGGTCTAGCTCATTTGGAGAAGGTGATGAGGCGACAGAATTCCCAGTTACAGGTGTGTCCATAGGAATATCAGAATCACTATTCATGCTCTCTGCCTGCTCCAGAGCCGCCCATATCCGCCTCTGCTGCTCTTCAAGTTCTTCTAGAGTCAGTGCATCCTCGTCCACAGGTGCAGATGCTGTCCTGGTCTGGGGTGAGTCACCGGGAGTGAGTGGAGGGGTCCCCTTGGGAAGGGGAGGAGTGAAGATGTGTGGAGGAGTTCCCTGTGGCAGTGGAGGAGGAGTGTCAGGAGGTAATGGCGGCTGAAACTGAAAAGTTTCACTGCTCTGAGAACCATGTGGTACCTCCACATCTGAAATAAGAAAATAACAGATACTTTAGCAGTTGTAATGGCATTTGATTTACTATAGTTTATTAGGTATATGCAGAGGTTCAATGGCCAAAAATAACCAGCTTGAGAAGGGGGGAAACTAGATTCTCAGGTGCCATGACCATTGACTAATGTCCTCAGTCTATGCTAAAAGATCATCTGCAGGGAGACCTCAGGATCTTCTAGTGTTGGGAACTTTAATCAAACCCTGGCATGATCATAGCTTACCATATTACAGGATTACAGGTATGAATCAACATGCCTAGCCTGTCACTTAGATTTTAAGAAGTCAATTCACTCAGAAGATCAAAGAATAAATAAAAGAGCTGAAAGGGGTGGTACCTGTGGCTCAAAGGAGTAGGGCGCCAGCCCCATATGCCAGAGGGAGGGTTCAAACCCAGCCCTGGCCAAAAAAAAAGAGCTGAAAGGCACTCTGGAAGGCCAAGGCGGGTAGACTGCCTGAGCTCAGGAGTATAAGACCAGCCTGAACAAGACAAAAACCTCATCTTACTAAAAATAGAAAAACTAGCTGGCTCAGCACCCATAGCTCAGTGGTTAGGGCGCTGGCCACATACACCAGGGCTGGCGGGTTCTAACCTGGCCCAGACCTGCTAAAAAAAAAACAACGAAAACTACAACAAAAAAAATAGCCGGATATTGTGGCAGGCACCTATAGTCCCAGCTACTTGGGAGGCTGAGGCAAGAGAATTGCTTAAGCCCAAGAGTTTGAGGTTACTGTGACGCCACAGCACTGTACTGAGGGTGACATTAGCTGGACATAGTGTCAGGAGCCTACAGTCCCAGGTACTTGGGAGGCTGAGGCAAGAGGATCACTTGAGCCCAAGAGTGTGAGGTTGCTGTGAGCTATGATACCACAGCACTCTACTCAGGGTGACAGTGAGATTCTATCCCCACCCCCACCCAAAAAAAAATAGCTGAAAGGAAGTATGCAGGGAAAAAAATGAGTTATAGCCTCACCAACAGCCAGCAGGTAAGAGAGAAAGGCCTGAACTAAGAGGCAATTATTAGAGATATTGTTAGCATTTGGTAACTGGCTAGAAACAGAGGACAGAGTTTCAGGGTAGATGGAATTGAAGATGAATGGGATTCTAAGCGCAGGTAACTCACAGTAACATTGGTACTGGTAACCATACTAAAGAACCCATAAAAGGAGGAAAAGGAGTGGCAGGGTTAAGAGAAGACAGGGTTAATAAATTCTTTCTTTTATTATGTATGTATGTTTTACGCTTTTAAGAATAAATTCTTGGCTCACACCTGTAATCCTAGCACTCTGGGAGGCCGAGGTGGGTGGAGTGCCTGAGATCAAGAGTTCCAGACCAGCCTAAACAAGAGTGAGACCTTGTCTCTAAAAATAGCTGGGTGCTGTGGCGGGTGCCTATATTCCCAGCTACTTGGGAGGCTGAGGCAAGAGAATCACTTGTGCCCAAAAGTTGCTGTGAGCTATGATGCCACACCACTCTACCAAGGGCAACAAAGTTGAGACTGTCTCAAAAAAATCAATCAATTCTTAAGCAATTCAAACTTGAGTTTCATTTCATAAAACACCTCAATAAACATTTTTATCATAATAGTGTTAAATTAATAGGAATAGATACTCAGGAAGCAATACTTCACGATTCCAAACTGAATTGCTATATTCATAGGTTTGGGACATGGAATCCATTTCACTTGCAACACACAAGTTTCATGCTACCAATAAATCTTTCCACAAGAAGGTGAATTAAACTGACTCAATGTTTCTAATTCTCCTTGGGAGTGAGAGGTCATTCCCATTGCCACTCCTGTGGCACGATGCCCCTGCAGAGCAGGAAGAAGATGGGTAGGGGGTGTTTGCAGTGGTACAAGGGTCAATGGGCTTGCTTTGATTTAGGGCCACTGATCTGGGTGTTTAAGAAGCCAGTCCAGCTTAGGAGGCAGGCCCACGTGGGCTTTTGCTAAACAGCTAAAAGTTGGCCTTGATCACCGTATGATCATTTAGTTGTTCAGAAACTAGGTGGGAAAGAGATTGCCATTAATACTCTCAGAAATCCTAACGTTTAGTGTGCTGGCAGGTAGCCCTGGGAAGTAACAAGGGAGGACTGACCTGGCTGGGGGGATACCTGAAAAGGCTTTTGGTGGAGTTAGGGCAGGTGAAGCTTTAGGTCTTTAGCCTGAGAGTATAGCCAGAGTGTCCTGAATCTGGTACCTTGTGGAGACTCATACTAGCCCAAGTTTTATTTTATTTATTGATTGAGACACAGTCTCACTCTGTTGCCCTAAGTAGAGTGCTGTCATGTCATAGCTCATAGCAACCTCAAACTCTTGGGCTCAAGTGATCCTCCTGCCTTAGCTTCCCAAGTATCTGGGACTACAGGCACCTGCCATGACCTTTGACTAGTTTTTCTATTTTTAGTAGAGATGGGATCTGGGATCTCACTCTTGCTCAGGCCGGTCTCAAACACCTGAGCTCAAGTGATCCACGTACCTTGGCCTTCCAGAGTACTAGGATTGTTAAGTGTGAGCCACTGTGCCCAGCGTAGTGCCTATCTTTTAAATCTGTTAATTGGGCAAGGAACCTCTGGCCACATGATCCTTTGTCCCAAACAAGTGATTACATCTCATGGTGACTTTATTTATAAGTATGGCTGTTTCTAGAAAGAGGCAGAGGGCCTGTAAACAAAACCAGTTGCTTCTACTGATGGTTGGGTCCAGAGGGCCTTTGGCAACTGGCCTCAGGACCTTGAGCTATACTTAGCAGATGTGTGCAGGCAGAAGCCTCAGCAGATGCCAGCAGAGGCTTAGTAAGCAAAACTCCACTAGACTGCAGGAATTTAGGGAGCTGAGGCACAAACTGCAAAGGTGAGGGCCTAGTACTCCTCAGGAGATGTGGCTGAGACAAAGTCTGGATGGTATGGAAATGAGTAAATAATCTTTGTTTTGTAAAGATTGTGTTTGCTTCACAGAAAACTAATGTAAAAAGAGGTTCTGTCTGCATTACAGAGAGCTAGCAAGGTTCTTTATTTTTTGTTTGTTGTAGTTTGGCCGGGGCCGGTTCAAACCTGCCACCTTCAGTATATGGGGCCGGTGCCCTACTCAGTGAGCCACAGGCACTGACCCAAGGCTCTTTTTTTGTGTTAGAGACGCTGTCATCTTGGGTAGAGTGCCATGGCATCATAGCTCACAGCAACTTCAAACTCTTGGGCTTGAGCGATCCTCTTGTCTCCTGAGTGACTGTGACTACAGGTGCCTGCCATCACAGCTAGCTAGTCTTTTTTTTTTTTTTTTAACGTACAGATGGGGTCTCGCTCTTCTGAGTTCAGGGGATTCACCCGCCTCAGCCTCCCAGAGTGCTAGGATTACAGGTGTGAGCTCCCTTCCCTGGCTAGCAAGGTTTTTT